ATCAAACTTATACAAATTAATGAAAATTACGTGGTCAACGGCGACCACTGTACGCATTTGGCGGCTGTGTAGACCTGACACAATAACGCCGTCCATTTCTGGGATCGAAATCTTGACACATGACACCTCGTTTTGCAGAAATTTGAGCTTTACAAGGTACCCAGGGGGGTAGATGAATAGGTAGGTGGGGGGTTTACAACGTACTTCTCTGTCGTGGTGGCGATTTGCGTGAGCCTGAACGCGAGGTCGAGCCACTGCTGCTGCTACTGTCACTGCTACTGCTTCCGCTGCTGCTGCTACTACTGTTGCTGCTGCCAGAGGAAGACGAGGAGGTCGAGGAAGCACGAGATCTCTTTCTGTCGGGCACGTGGCGGGCAGATGGTTTGGAGGAGCCGCGCCCTCGATCCGACGAGTGCACTCTCTTCCTTTCTGTCGCAACAGGAGCCGAACGCGGTGAACTTTTCACGCTCTTCTTTTCAATATCCGTAGACCCAACGTCCGGCATTTCTAGACTGCTGGCAAGAAGTAAAGAGTAACATGCACAGTTGCCATACTTTAAATGATACTTAGCAGACTTCATTCAGATGGGGCGACACAAACAGGCAAACTATGGCGAAGCGAGAAGTCTGGTCTCTTGTCGAAAGTAATATTCTGATATTTTTTAATCGCGGGCATCGGATTGCAATATACACAAAGCAATGCATTTGAAGCACAGCCGACGCGGACAACGCGCCTAGACAATCAAGTAGCAGTAGTGTTGGGGATTGTGTGGTAGTGGTGGTGGGAATATATACAACAGAGCAATAGAGGACAGCTGTACACAGCACATAGGAAATATTGCAATTCGTTTGATTGTGGTCAGTATTTGTTCAGGTGCTAAATTGTCAGCAATACAGGGAAGATAAGGAGCAGAATGGAATAAGGGCTCTGAGGCGGATGAAAGCATAGAAAGGTGTAGATGTGTGTGAGAGAGATAGAGAGGGGGGGAAGAGCGCGTGCGCTATCTGCCTAGTTGAGATGAGACTGTACACGTCCGTTTCATGGCGGAGTCGACATTATCACAGCAAGAAGTAAAACCAACACTGGCGGTGGTGGCTGTGTTGGCACTGTATATATATTGCAGCGGCGCGCATACGTGCAGTGAGAGATACGGCGAAGAAAGGGAATAAAGAAAAAACTACAACAAAATACAAAAAAATAAATCAATTTTGAAAAAGAACGTGTGGTAACCAGGCAAAAAAGAGAAAAAGTAGAACGTATAAGGCAATGGGGGGAAACTAGTTCATCCACTTTCTGCACTGCTTCGCGCCGCAAAGACAGGGGATCCTGCTGGGCTTGTCATCTTCAAAGTCGAATTTGTAGTCATAGGTCAGTTCTTCGCCCTTCTTGATAAGCCGCTTGGCGATTATGATTATCCGCTTGTTAGCCTCAAAGGCAAACACCTCGGCTATACAGTTGGGTTCACATGAATGATTTATGTACCGCGCAAGACCACCGTACATGGTTGCGTCGACAATGCAGTCGTCGTCTGCACGGAACATGTAAATGCCGCGATTCTGTGAATCATACAACCGCTCACGCAGGTTGCCGACCTCATTGCGGATAAGCTGACCCAGATACTCAATTATAAATTCGTGCTTGTCGATATCACGCGCTGCAAAAAGACCCAGGCCCTGGATCTTAGACCTAGCCAGGAGCACATTGTTTTTCCACTCGAATCGCAGACGCTTATACTGATAAAATTTGCTCGGGACTTGGGAAGATTGCTTGCCTATCGGAGCCGTATAGGATAAGGGGTTGCAGGTACGGGGAATTTGACTACAGCGGTGTGGGTCAGTTAGGCGAGAGGTGGGCGGGACAGTGGGGGGAAGGGCGGTGCGCGATTCGACTTCAATGTCTCCAGTCATATTTCTGACATAGGTGCGCAGTTTGGGTTCTGAGCGTGCACAGCCAGTAGGATTCAGCATGAGAGGCATCTTCGATATTAACTGCATTTTTGCAAACTTGAAGATGTAATTCCGCAAGTGTTCAATGCCCGGCAGAGACTCGATAGCACGAACAACATGAGACTCGGACAGGCCAAAAAGATCCTCACCGACGAGCTCCTTGCAGAATAGGTCCAGTGCAGTAGGGTGAAACGTTTTCCGAGCAATTTTTACCAACTGCAGAATGTGCTGCCAGACAGTGTTGCAGAGGAAGGAACGGAACTTCTCGTCAGGTAAGCCCGGGTCATTGACAAGGACGGTGAAAACGGGACGCGTGGGTGCATTTTTAAAAGGATCCCCACAAAGGCCATCAGTTAACCACTTATCCTGACTACTAGAGACAGTGCATGAGGAATCCTCAATGGAGCAGGTGTAAAAGCACCGACGCCCCGGTCGCCGATACGACCAGTAGATCCGAGTAGTACAAAAACCCACGGGGTAGACGAACAGTTTGGTGTGAAATCGGCCGCTGTCCACGTGCTCGGAGAGCAGCTGGCCAATGGAGTGCAGGATAAGAGATCCTATACGTAGCTTGGAGCGTTGTCCCATTGTCAGAGGCGACTGGGAGCCGATAACATCCTCAACCAGGGAGTACTCGTCTCGGGATAGGAAGACTCGACGAGAAACTGCAAGGCTGTCTAGGCAGTTCGCTTGCGCTTGGTTTCGGTGCAGCTGGCAGAACATGCTGCGGTCCTCGTGAAAAGTACAATCAAGGGCGCGAGCACACTGTAGGTGGCAGAGGAGGGTGCAGTCGGCGTCGAAGCATGGAAGCCCGGCACCAGGAAGGCCACAGTGGGAGCACTTTACTTCAGCAGCTTTCTTCAAAGAGCGGGCCACGTTCATCAGACAACCATCCAGCGTCTCGTAAGTATCGTAGCACCATAAAATGCAATTGACGTGCATCCAGTGGTCTCGAGTGTAATTTAACAGCCTTCCAGCTACCTGATCATCAGCGTCACCGCATTTTTTGCATAAACCACATAAACGTGTGTCAGTAGGGGTTGAATGCAGGTCTGATATGGAACTGAAAGAGATCGGCCTAAGCCAATTAGACAATGGTTGGTGGGTAGTAGCCGTCTTGACATGTGAAAACGCAACCGGCTGTTCGGCTGAGGAGTAGGACATCCAGCGAGCTCCCTGCCACCGTCTCGTAGTTGCTTTCGGTTGAAAGTCCCGCCCCGGCAGCGGTCGACGACGATTAGGCTTGTTTACTGGCGCCGGCTTGCTGGCGTTTTTGCATAGTTTTGGGATTGACGTATGCACCAAAATCGGCACAGCAGAAATAACATCATCTGCAAAAACATTGGTAGGGGCGGCCTGGATACAAGACAACTTGTTCAGTCGTTGCTGTTTGGATGTGGATGACTCGTACATTGCACGGCAAGTCTCGCTGCAAAATACAGCCTGTCCCCTGCCAGTATTAATGGGGGTGGAGAAGAGTTGCATAGCACAAAATTGACAGACAGACGCACAATTCTGTTTTGATCTTAAAGATTCAACTGTCCGCCGTGCTTCAGAGTAAAGGTCGTGAGTATTTTTTGGACAAGTTGAAGGACTCGGTTCCTCTCCTTTCTTCAGTCTCACTGCAGAATTTAGGTTTGTTTTGGGCCGAAAAGCCAACGGAGCATCATCTGACCCATGAGTTGCCTCGCATGTTGGCTCATAAAGATGAAGGTAGTCGGGTTCCTGGCCGCAAGATGTACGTGGTGAGTATATAGGTAGATCGGGAGGTGAATGTTCACTGCGAGCCAGTGCAAGGGAGGCAGCATCATCAAGAAAATTGCCCCGCGAAACCGTTTCGACTTCTTGTGCACCAAGACCAATGAAAGAAAGCAAAGAGGCAGATGAGACATCAGTGGGAGCGCGAAGCGAAAAGGGCAAAAAGGAGTACTTTTTCCCATAGTTCCGCAGCAAAATGCTGGACGACGCGTCCCGTTGTAAGGCCAGAGGGTTGGTTGTCAACTTATGACAGGCCAGCTTTCGTGTTAGCGCGGGCTCGGGTGCGTAAAGACCCAAAGGATCTTCCAGGGCTGGGGGTGAGATACATTGTAAAGCGGCGTTCCGAGACAGCAAACGAGCAATTGTCAGGGATGTCGGCATCTCGGACGCCTGGCTCAGTTTCTGGTGACGCGATTTCGGATCAACGTCAGGACAGGTGCGTCGTCGCTTAGAAGACCTTGATGAGTTTTGGGAGCCACGCCGTTTTTCACTCCCATTAGAGCGACTCAAGGTTTGTGAGGCGAGAGGAGCAGTTGAATGTGCAGGATTACTCCAAAATGAGATTGGGGCACACGCTGAACCGTTTGCACTTTCTCGAGGGAGAGCCAATTTGAGGGTTACAGGGTCAACGTGGGTTGACGGCTGACCGTCATGATTTAATTTTCCAGCCAAATTCATTTGCGACCGGAATTTTTGAGTATTTAGCCGCTCGACCTGTCCGGTAACTTGTCTCGCTTTGTGACTACCATATTCAATCAAACGCTGTTCGCTGTCAGGGGGGAAATCGGAAATCCCAGAAATGCGACGTCGTTTCGACTCAGGTTGGCGGAAATCTGGTCTTCCATCATAACATTCAGAGGAATTGAAGTGCTGGTAAGGATCTAAACGACTATTGAGTATAGGACTGGCACGATGAATGTGGTAGCTTGACTTTCGCCCAGTCGGGGAGGAAGCACTTCCATGAAATGTATTAAGGTTTCCACCGGACAGAGAGGCATGAGTGGGGTAAGGTTCGGCTGCATTAGCGTAGTACGGGGAGCAGTAGTTACGCATGAAATTCGGTTGCACAGTCATCTGTGGTCGTGCATAACTGGTTCGGTCATGGGCTGGAGGATTACAGCACAAATTGGACGACGGAATGTCAGGAAAACCTGTTGAAGATGAGGGAAGTCGAAAATCGCTTTTGGGTAGGGTTCCGGCGTAATTTGGAGGAGAAATGCCGAGGGGGGTATTTACGGAAGCATATGAGAGAGAGGCCAACGTCTCTGGAGCCTGATTTAGCAGCATGCTCTCTGGTACAGAATAACTGGCCCCAGCCGGATATGGGGGAGCCACTGAACGCAGAGGATGAAGGTGTGGGTCTTCGGAAAGGCTTTGCACGCTTTGTGTCCCTCTTATCAATGGCCGACTACTGAATGTGGTGTTGGGCAGTGTATCTCGGGCAGCTGAGAAGTTCAAGCAGTAAGAGGTAGACCGAATGTCGGTTACCTGATCCTCACATAAATCGTTGATGGACTTCGCAGGGGGCGATAGCGAGCCGTTACATGTGAAGCGATCCTGGTCTGCATCGGTAGAAGGGTTGGTGCTCTCCGATTCTTGGGTCTCACGAGAGTAACATTTGTCGCTCAACATCGAACTCGGTTCGAGGTAGTCTTGCGAGTTGTCCTTTAAGTCAACCTGATCAGAGCTATTTGTACCATATCCCATAGGTGGATCTACTTGTTTCTTGTGTCCGCGAACGCCGACATCAAGATAAGAACGGAAGTACTCGGAAGGCTCTGTTGACGACAGATAGCCCTCGCTGTTGTTACCAAAGGCACTGAAAAGGGGCCACGTCGGTGCATCCCTGTGTTCAACCGACATCTAAAATAAAAAAATATTTGGATGAGTTGGACAGAAAAACAAGACAATGGCGACTCTATCAGCAACATACTAAAAGTCAATAGAGAAAGCAGTCTCCGAAAACGTAGCCCTCCGTTACACCCAACAATTCTATCCTTCGTCGAATAATGCAACATTAACACCAGCAAATGAGTTGTTTTACCAATATGGCTGTCGACTTCAATCGGGTGTGCATCGATGCCGGACTTACTCCTAGGCATATTTAATAATGCGAAGAGACCCAGCTTCCAGGATACGAGCAGGTGTATACGGTGACGTAATGATGTCCTTTTCTAACATACCTGCTAAAGTGAGACCTACGAAATTTCTGGCACACATGGTGATGTACTCGCTAGACACTAGCAAAAAAGTGTTCATGATATCGGAACACGTCTCCACGCACCACGCGTATATAGATAATGGTGAAGTTATCAATGTAAGTTTACTCGTATTTTATTCTCTAAGTTGAACGCAAATGAAGAAGAAAATAAGAAAAGCGCGTTTGAGGGCACGCACTCAGAGTATCGACACAAATGGGGTACGCCACCGGCAGGGTTGTCGGCAGCAATCGGCTCGACAACGCTAATCAGTCTCAAGGGTCCACCCAGGTTCCGACACTCAAAAGGAATCCGCTAAACTAGTTGTCGGATGACGGGAAGATAGCAGTACTGGTGGACTTCATGCTTGCGGGCAAATTCTAGGAAAGTGCAAGCTTAACTTGCCACTAAAAATGTAGGACTTAAATTCGTAGCAAAAAAGACCATACGATCATACGATCCGATAAAGACTGCGCTTTAATGGATTCGTAAGAGTTCTGCTGTTCGACTTCCTAAATCTCTATGCAACGAGACAGTCAGCAGCCTTAACATATGTGCTGAAGCGGTTTCACATACAATTCGCATTTTGTTCGCCTTCTAATGTGGCTTTAGTGCGACACTATTCCTGTTAGCTTTAATTGCGATCGTTTCTATAATATAAGTGGCAGACGGCCTGAGCCTGACAAGATTCTCCACTAGACAGAAAAGGTCATTATTATAAGATATAAAGTGCACCGTCGGGAATTGCGTTCTGTTGTCCTTGGTAATGCGCATGTCCCGGTAGACAAAAAAAGAATATCCATTTCTTCATAAGCAAGGCTATTTCGCATACTTTTATCACTGACAGAAACTCGAACTCAGATTCCACGTACGTTGTGGCCAAAGGCGGGCTCACTCAGTGAAGAACGTTCATAGTCCTTTTGCGACGTGCATTTCGTGGACGATCGAGGTATTTAACAACCAGCAGTTTCCACGAGTACTGTGGCTTCAAGTAATAGAGCATATTCTAACGCTGACCGATAGTACTTTATGCTACGTAGTAAACGACCCAATCACTCAAAATATCGGCCTCCTGCGGCCGGTGGCCACATACGCGTATAGAATCCCCAACGTGAAATACCGGGTTCTAAAACCAGTTGGAATCAGTTCAAATAATCCGTAAATGCAGCTAAGATGGCCTGCTGAACTAGTTCATATAGCTTATCGCTCTCTGAAATATGTAAAGAAGAGGGAATCGTTGCCATTTATGGCTTACCCGTAGAATTTAAGCTGGTCACTAAAAATTCAAGATCCCATGCCGAATAGAATCAAGTGTTGGCTGCATAAGCTCCGGCTGCTGGACGTGAAAATTCTAACTAAACCATTTCTTGGAATTTATTCAACTCTAAATTCTCTGCGCAAATTTAAGGGTCAACCGTTAGACCTCATATATCAGGATCTCCAAGAGTATTTG